GTCTTTTTTAGACGAAAATAAGCTAAAAATTGCCATAATGAACAATAAGTAGTAGAAAAGGGCCTAAAAACCGCAAAATAGGAAAGAACCCCCTACCCCCACCCCTAAAAAGCGTTTTCTAAGCAGAAGGGTGGGTTGTAGTCGCGGTGCTTCACCGTTACATCCCTTTCTCGTGTCTCGAGGCAAACTCAAAGACGACGGGTTTAAGCGGGCCGAAGGCCCGCTGAATCCTTTGATCGTGTTCTGCAGCAAATCGCGTGACTGGCCCGACCATTGCCGCCAGCAGGTCAAGCTGGCCCGGCCCCTGCCGAACGGAGTTGCCGGCGTAGCGAAGCGGAGCTGGCAACTTCGTTTGGCGGAAGGGCGGGCCTGCTTGTTGTTTGGACTAGAAACTAAAATCCTCCCACACAATCACAGGTGCCTGCCGACGCAATGGTCAAGAACAATACAATGGGCCTGGAAATTGAGCTCCAAAACTCCGCACTGCCCCTTTCATTCTTGTGTAAATGGCAACGTTGCACCGTTAGTTGACGGAGGGCGGGCTAACGAGGGTCACAGCCTGGTGAAAGACGTCTGGCTTAACTTGCCGTGAACTTCTCTGCATTAGGCTGACGGTCCGTCAGCTAACGGCGCGTCAGCCGAGAGTTGGTAGAAGAGGGCCTTAACAATTGAGGACTACCAAAACAGAAAATCAATCAGGACACAGGTTCCACGTCAGGGAAAAAAGAAATTACCTTGCGGCACTAATGACATGTTTCTTTCTCAGTTGTTTTTCTGCTTTGCTAATCCACAGTTTAGCAACAGAAAACCGACTTTAAAAGATGTATAAAAAATACTTCAGGTATGAAATCCTAAAAGCACTCCACTTAATAACATGACAAAAAATTAAAAAATAATCAGTAATGTTTTACTCAAACACAGCCAACAACTAATCACTATCTCCGGAGGACGAAGAGGATGAACTGTCTGCCACTTCATCCACTTTCCTCTTCTTGTTTGAAAACACCAGCAGCTTCAACATCCCTTTCCTCCTCTTATCCTCTTTTTTCGCCTTCATTTTCTTAACAACTACCAAGTTAAGAAACTGAGCATCTTTCCTACTCGCATCCTCCTTCAAAAAATTTAATATTTCATTTGAGTTTACTCTCTTATGTCCTTTCGGTTTAGCCGACTTTTTAACATCACTGAATCGGTTTTGGGCCTCTTCTTCATCCTCCTTTTCAGCCCCCAGCACCTCCTCACTCCCGTCAACATGAGTGGATGGTTTGTCATTCCCTCCCAAACTGTGCTCTGATTTATCTTCGGACTACATAGAGTCCTGACTGAAGATTCAGCGGGCTCAACTTTGCAGTATATTTCAGGACATCGAACACATTGCCGAAATAGTCTGGCTTCTTTCCTAATGAGGCACTACCAGTCTTCTTGGGGCCGCTATTGGTTACTATCAGCAATGTCTGTGCCTCCATGTTCCGCCACTTCTGGGAAACTACTTCTGACCAATCACGGTCCCCAAACGAATACCCCATCATCTCTAACCGAGTCTCTAACTCCTTGGCGAACAGGGCAATCACAGACTTCTTGGTTTTGCTTTTGCTTTGCAAAAGACTCTCATACTTGTCCGACTTCGTCATGGTCAATAACTCATTTCTTGCTGCGAAATCAGCATTTGTAGGGTTCCTATTTTTAACCCAAATTACGTTGGAGGAAGAGGTGGAAGATCTTGAACCGGCCGCTGGCGTGAGTGCTGGACCATTTATTTCTTGATTGAAGGCATGCAATGAGTGATCATTGCACTTGCTGGTGCTGGCGGTACTGTGATCGGGGCCCGGTGCAGCGGCTCTCTGATATAGAATCACTTTTGTAGTACCATGCAATATCGTCACCGCTTGAGGCAGCATTACAACAGGAACGTCCGATATTTTTTTAGCTGAAATTTAAGACCCAATTTAGTTGTAAAATCTCGAGAGTACGACAATGCTTGTAAACATAACCCCAGGTTGTACTTACCGGCTCGGTCAAACACATAAAATGTTTTCTGATCTGCACCAAAAATTATTTCTCCTATAGGATTAGTAACCAGCGCATGCTGGCCGATGTTAAAATTA